GTCCAATAGTATATGAATCTACACTACACAGTTCAGATGGATAGTGAATTGAGTCCAGAGTTGAATAGGAGGAGGAGGAGGAGAAAGAGCTTGATAACCTCTCTGAAATGTTCCTTTGCTGACCACAAGATTCCTAGAAAAACAAAGGCTTGTCTTTTCTTTAGGCAATTGGGGTTAAGTGACTTGCCCAGGGTCATACAGCTAGTAAGTGTCAAGTGTTTGGTCTGAGGCTGGATTTGAACTCAGGTCCTCCTGACTTCAGGGTCGGTGCTCTATCCATTGCGCCACCTACCTGCCCCCTTGGGCTTGTCTTTTCAATGCTAACATTCTGTTAGTATTTCCAAATAGCATGAGACATAGAATGCGATTGCCTCCAAAGAATTAAAAATCAATCTCACACAGAGGGGAATAGTGAAGAAGTACAGGTAGGTGTAAGCAGGCTGCAGCATAGAAGGAACTATCAATAACAGGGGGAAAGGATGTTGGCAAGAACAATATGATAGGAAGAGAAGCTGGGCTGGTCGTGTGGAAAGAGCAAGGAACACTATTCCCTTTCAACGTAATAAAAAATTAAGAAAGGCCTCCAACACTTTGGTTGGACCCTTGGGGTGAACTTTTGGGAGGATAGCAACATATCACACAGAATAGGCAGGTGTTGATAGGTTTGATCTGCCTCCTTGGGGAGAATTCCCAAATTGATGAGATCCTAGATCCATTCGAGTAACAAGTTGCACCAATCTCTGGAAAACCCACCAGCCAACCCTCCCAAGGTTGACCTACCTCTTCTGCTCCTTAGACTGGAGTGCCACAGCAAAGAGAAGACTTAAGGGAAGGTTTCTAAAAATTGATCATGAAATGGAAGAAGTGTGAAGTGGATGGTAATTGCATTTGCTTAGATCCTCCCAGATATACATCTGTGTCCAGATGTTGTCATCATTGAACCTTTGAAGACACTACTCATTTCCATTCAAAGGCTTTTAAGCAAACTATTTGCCCTTGAAATAGACGTGCCCTTGCACATCTACAAGCCAACACATCAATTTAACTCCTACTGTTTAAACTTATTTCTCTAGCCCCTGATGTGTTAAATACAATGTAAAGACAAGGGGAGAGCTGAGGACTGACCCCTGAGGAAGCACATCATGGTGGGATTGGGAAGAGGATGAATACAAGACACTAGAGAAATCTTTCAGAGTCAAAGCAGAGAAGTGGAGATACTGCTCCACTGCTGGGTAGAGAATCCAAGCAGAAAGTCTAGACAGCTCCTGATCCTAATTCCATTGTTGAATAGCCAAGAGCCAGAAAGAGGGTGATGAGACAGTATGGTTCCCCCCTAGCAAGACTGACATGGAAGGAACCAACCATAGATCTCTTCTAACAATGGCTTCCAGTTGTTTTAGTTCAGAGGGATGGCTGAACCTTAGCTTCTTGGGGAATCATAATATTATGTCTTCTCTTTCCAGGTGATGCAGTAAATGTATTTTAAACTATAATGTAAGTGTTCCTTTGCAGGTCCCAGGAGTGGAGAAGAAGCTGAGAATCCTAATGGGGAATGAGACAAGAAGGCTACCTAGGCTACAATGGGAGATTTTCCTGGAGCAAATTTCAGGTAGGGGAGGAATAAGCATTTTTATAGCACCTACTATGTGTCAGACACTGTGCTAAGTGATTTACAAATATTGCATTTGATCTTGACAACAACCCTTTTACCTGTGGAGGGTTCTTAGTCACTGTCCTTATCTGACAGATCCAGTGGACTCTCTACCTCCCTCCCCATTTTCATACACAGCACCAAAACCCTCCTTGAATCTGTTAACTGAAATATAATTGCCCCTGATTTCCTGAACTTTACAATCTCTTCACAGAATCTCCCATCTTCCTTTACTTTGCCCACTTAGATCTTTATCACATTGAATGAATGAATGAATGAATGAATGAATGAATGAATGAATGGATGGATGGATGAATGAATAAAAAAGTATTTATTAAGTAGGATGTGTAAGGCACGAAGTGCTAAGCACTGAGGATACAGATACAAAAGCGAGACAGGCCCTGCCCTCCAGGAATTTATATTTTATAGGCAGAGACATCACAAGTAAGAGAGTGGTGGCCACAGAGGGATGTTTTGGTCTGGGAAGGCATAAGGCTGGTAAGGGGAACAGTAGGGCAGTCAGTTGACCCCCTTTTCAGAAGCAGTAGCTATAGATGTGACGACAGGTTCCTAGAGCAACAGGTTCCACCAAGAGGTGGAATGTTAGGGAAATGATGGCAGGAGAGTTGGGGAGAGGCTTGCAGGGAAGTACTTGCTAGACAACAGGGTGGAAAATGACCCTAGTGAAAAGGTACATTCAGGTCTAGGGGTTGCTCTCAATTCATGAGTAACAGCCCCGTTCTTGTCTGCCTGGCCCTGAACCCATGGTCTCTTACTCACTTTATGTACTTACTCTTCTATTCTTCATTCATTCAACAGACATCTATTCATCATCCAACAACAATAAAAGCTACCACTCCCATTGCTATCCCCTTTAGGATTTACAGGGTGCCCTCCTCACTACAACCCCATGAGATAGGGGAATGCAAGTATTTTTCTCATTTTACAGAGGAGGGGAAACACTTAGTGCTGGAGTGGAGGGGTGGGGGCAAAAAGGAATAAGATGGAGCCCCTGCCCTCCAAGAGCTTACAGCTTAATAGGTGAGGCACATCAGCAGAGAAATCAAAAATATCTAAATACTATCAATCAGTGCGTCAAAAGAGTCTGTCTATAAAGTGCTAGGAGATCAGACAGAGGGAAAGCTAGCTTGCCCTCATGTTTGTACCTCTGTGCTTGGCTCATGCTGGGATCTCTCTATAGCCTGGGTCACCTGGACTCTGCCTAATGTCCCACACTGATGAGGGATGGGAGGTCTCATTTGTTCTATAGCTTTGTCATCTACAAAGCACTTTCCTCCCAAAAACTCTCTGTCCAAGATGTAGGAACTACTGTCTCCATTTTACAAAAGGGATATCAATCAGAGAGGGCAAGTGACAAAGGTCATGCTGCTACTTATGACAGAGCTGGGACTAGAACCCAGGGCTGTCTCCTTCCTCAGTCTTTCTGCCATGTCCTACAGACCACTTTGGAAGGGAGTAGGACAGAGGACAAGAATTGGGGTACAGGAGCTATTGAAGGGCTGGGATATGAGGTAGCATTTGGCTTCCCTGTGATCTCTCCCTGTCCCTGCCTCCAGCCTTCTCTTCACTAAGGAGAGAGGAGATACCCTCATGCCTCCTCTTTGGGAGCCTCGCCTCTCAGGGCCAGGTGGGAATCCCTCTATCAGTTAAAAAGACACAGGTAGGAGAAACCTCTCCATTTGGGGAAGTGGGGAGGTAGGGAAAAGGAATACCCACTTCCCCTGGAGAGGGTTTGACATAAACAGTTTGGGCCATAGGCTGCATTAGCATGCATTAAGGAGTGATGGGTTCCTGGTTTACATGATCTTGTGGGACCAGGAAGTAACAATGAGAAAGTCTGAGAGACACCCCTAAGTTGGCTGTGATCATCCTAAAGACATCAATCACATCAAAGAGACAAATGTCCAGGGGCTCCACCCTTCCCCCAAGGAACAGGCTCCCAGTCAGATACACCTGGGAAGGTTCCCCCCATGAAGGGTTTAAGGAATCCATCTCCATGCCTGGGTTGTGAATACCTAGGTGAGGTCTGGGCAAGAGCAAGTGACCTTGCTTCCTTGGCTGAACAATGCTCTTCAATACAGAGCTAGGAGGCAGCTCAGGATGGCCCCCCACACCCCCACAGGGCAGCCCGGCTCTTAGGCTTGAAAGGGCTGTCCTCATAGACGGGTATCTCCTGATCTTGGCGGTGGCCCCAGCAGCACAACAGCTTCCAAGGGGAGAAACTGCCACGTCTGGGGGAGTCCTGGTCCCGACACACTAGCCGTACTTGGTGCATAGTGATATGGGAGACATCTCGAATGCAAAGTTCAGCATCCCACTGCATTTCCCCAAGGTCTGTAGTTGGAAAGTGGCAAGGAAGGTGGCATGTTAGATCCCTGAGAGGTCCAGGGCCTCAGCTTTCCTCCCTCCCCATCAGTTTCCCTGCCACTAGTAAACTGACCAACTTTCTCCACACCTTCCGTCTTTAGAACCTGGTTCAGAAATCACCTCTCCAGGAAGATTTCCACACCTCACCCCAGTCCTCTCAGTCATCCTTTCTGCTCCCAGAATTTACCTCCTTCTAGACCTTCTCTGAGTGTGTGTGTATGTGTGTGTGTGTCCCATTTCCCCCTCAGACAGGAGCACCCTAGGCAAGGCCCATCAGAGAAGCTCCTCTCAGAAACCAGTGCCCACACTGTCAAACATTTACCATAGCAAAGGCAGGCCATTTGCTCCTCACTGTGTCTTTTTACACCCAGGAGTCACCCTGCCATATATCCTCATTGCCTTAGCAATAAACCGCCCACCCCATGAGCCCCAATTACTCAACATGTCTAGCGTCCCTTGCCTACCATGCAGCAGTGAGTCCACCAGGCCAGGGCTGACACAGTCAGGGTCCATGTGATGGATCAGAAACCCTGAAACCAAACAGTTTGGATCATCAGGCCCCTGCACCCGAATGTGACCAACATCTGACAAAGGTCTCTGGGGCTATGCCTTTTATCAAGAAGGAAGAGAAATTCCCCTGAATGAAACACAATCCCACTGAGGAAGAAGGAGGGTTGTCTATACTCAGCAAACTTGCTGACAAACACATTTTTAGAAGAGTCACAGGAAATGAGAAGGATGACTGAAGGAATGATACAAGAAGGATGGACGCTGATGAGATTTTGGATTGCTTAGAGTATGTGAAGAAGATGGGAAAGAAGGCAGGTAATCAAGGATGTGTGTATGGAGGTGACACAGTTAGTGCCAGGGGAAGTAAAGCTGGTAAAAAATGCCAAAAATGACAAAGGGGCATTTTTTTTAAGGCTAGGTTGGGGCAAAAGACAGATAGGTATAGATCAACTGCTCCAGGTGAATGGAGCAATGATATCAGGCAGTGGAGAGAGGGAAGAACCACCTAACTTTTATTCCACATCAGAATTCTCCACCAAGGAAATGACTGGCAGACTAGGAAGGACTAAAGAAAAAAACAGTTAATTAGAAATTGAAACCAAAGTGAAGGACAGAGGGTACCTAGCTGCCTTTGATAATGTCAAATCTCCAGGCCTAAGTGAATTCTATTGGCCCCAAAGAAGAAATATGAGGAGATAACTCCCCTCATTCTTTTGCAGAAATGAGAGCCCATGTGGGGTGAGATACTGCTTATAACTTCAGATTTTTTAAATATGTTGTTTAGTTTTGTGGATCTTTTTTTCTTAGTTTATTATAAGAGATGGCACTCTGGGAGGGGAGAAAGAACAAGTAATACAACGCGAAAATTTTTTGAAGAAAAGAAAAATCATGTCAGGGTTTGCTTGACAACAGAAGGCTCTGCTGAAACGGATTCTCAGTAAGCTCCTAATCAAGCCCCAGTTACAGGGAACAGAGTTGATTCAGGACCCTTGGGGCTGGCCACTTGGAAGAATGATTATGACTAGCTAGAGCTTACCTATGAACATGGCTGACACCCGGCGAATGGGAACCTGGGAACTCTTCAGGTAGCCTTGGGCCTGGCTCAAGAAGTCAGAGGCTCGGCCAGGGTACCACTGTGCCTGAGGACAAAGCGAGGTAAGGTCTGCATTGGAAGAGATGTCTCAGTGCAACGTGAGGAAAGCCCCACGGGCCCCACTGACAAAAGCGGCTGAGAAGCCCAGGACTTTCCTCATTTCAGGCAAATCCTGCCCTGGGAAGAACACAAGTAAGCACAAGAGAGGTCTGCTTCCTGTTTCCTCCCTGTGGTCATGAAGGGTGACTAGCTCTACTGAAAGGGGCTATTCACCAGAGGCACTGTATTTTCCCTCTGTGGGTAACCTAAGGACAATACATTATCTTTGCTGAAAGAGACTCCCCAGTAGGGGCTAGGGATAGTGAACCTGTGATTTCACTGGTATAGGGAGCTTCCTGGCTGAGAGAACTCCCTCTTCCCATGCAAGTTAGCACCTTCTCTGCATTGATGGTCCTAGAGTTGCCTAGAGCCCTAAAAAGTTAAGTGACTTGCCTATGGTCACACAGTCAGTATGTGCTGGAAGTCAGACTTCAACCCAGGTCTTGCCAACTGTGAGACTGGCTCTCTATCCACTAAACCATAATGGCTCCATCTCTGTGAGTCCCTAAGGATAGTGAGCTGGAAGGAGAGGGATTGGCATAAGGCATTGTAAATTTTACCTAGCCAGGAATCCAAAGGGCAACAACACTTGTTGTTTCTTCTAGTTTGCATCTGAAGCTGGGGAAGAGCAGGAAAGGGAGGGAAGTAGGAGCTAGTTTTAGGGGGAGCCCTTCAGGCAAGGCTCTGGTTTTCTAACATAGCCCTATGGAAGCCCCCACTGACCAGTCGTCTGCACGTGCGGCTTAGAGCCTCTGGGCTGTCATAGTGAACCATGGCTGAGATCTCCTCCAGCAGCCTCCAGCCCAGGAATCGATCACAACGAGCTAACGTCCACTCTGCACTCTGGAAGGAAAGGGACAAATGAGGGGTTAGGGTATAGTCAGGCCCGGGGACATACACTTCCTTCCCCATTACCGAGAGGACATGGGGGAAGATAGGAGGGCGAAGGGACAGGAGAGCCAAACAAACCCAGGGTCCCAACCCTCACTGTATTGGCAGGCAGAACCTATTTCCCGGGGTCATTTAATACAATAATCCTCTGTAGTAATAATGTAAATATTCTGTATTTGTGTATCTGTGTAATTGTGTGTTCTCCCAAGTAATTCAATTTAGTTCAAATCAACGTCTTAAGTACCTACCCTGGGCAGTAAACAGTGAACTCCCAAAGAGCAGGGACTGGTTTGTTTTGGTCTTTGTATTCCCCGGACCAGGGGTGGATGCAGCCTTTTGACTGAATCCAAGTTTTACAGAACAAATCCTTTTATTAAGAGGATTTGTTCTGTGAAGTTTGGATTAGGTCAAAGGGCCATACTTGAGGACCTAGAAGGCCACTTGCGGCTTCCAGGACGCAGGTTCCCCACCCCTGCCCCAGACCATAACAGACTAGAGATAAATTGTTGATTATAAACCCTGAAGAATAGTGGGAGGGTGGCTGGATTTGGGGCTCATCAGGGGCAGATGGGAAAATTTGGGGCTCAAGTGGAAGAAGGGGGTCCTGGATGGGAGGATCCAAGATAGGGAGGCAGGAGGACTGAAGGTGGGGCGGGGGAAATCTGGACTCCCGGCTGGTGAGAGGACAGGGTGAGGAAGTTGGGGCACCCCGGACCTCGGCAGCATCCAGGCTTGGGTCTTGCAGGCGCAGCAACAGGGTCACCAGGCTGCCCAGCACCAGCTCGCGCACCGCCCTAGCGCGCCGCGGGGAGCAACGACCCACTAAGGTGCCCAGGAGCCCGATAGCTGAGGCACGAACAGAATCCTGATCCTGGAAGTAGAGAGAAGAGTGAGCTCGAGGGAAGGCGGGGTCTACTGGAGGGGCGGGTATAGGGCGGGGCTGAGATTGGTAAAGGGCGGTGCTCGTGGTCGGGTAGGCGGTGCTTGAGGGTGGGCGGGGCAAAGGAGAGGAGCGGAAAAGGAAACCCGTGAGAGAGGGGGAGGAGGCGGAGCCATCCACTGATCCCTCCCTCTTCCCCCCCACGCCCCGCTCACGTGGTCCAGCAGCGGCCTCAGGCGCCAGCCCAGGCTGGTACATTGTGCACTCACGTGCGCTTGAGCCATGGGCCTCACCAGGAGCCTCCGGAGCGCGCCCAGGGCCGCCCCCACCAGCCGCGTGTCCGCCTCGCCAAGCGCGCCCAAAAGAGCCCGGAGCAACGTCCCCACGTGCCGCGCCTGCGCGGAGCCAGGGCCGTCAGGGATGCCGTCCAGCCTCTCCCTGCCCCCACTCATCATCTCGTCCCCCCGTTCCCCACCCAAGCCCCCACCCCGCGCCGTGGCGTCTTCTGCTTATAGCCGGCCAGCGGAAGAGCCTGAATGGCTGCCTCTCGCGGGTAACCGAGACCTGAGCCCAAACTGCGGATAATTTTAGTGCTGCTTTTCTGCGTGATGCTGGCCTTCATCATTCATTTTGTAACTTGTGGCTCCTGCCCTTGTACCGTAGCCCCTGTGTCGTTTGGCTCAGGTTGGCATAAAAATGGGATGAAGTACTGGCGTCCGATAAACCCCGAGGGAGATTTGTCCACTTTCGGATAACTGAGAGTTGACTGTTCCATTGTTCCCCACCCCCAGGACCGGGGATTCCCTGGGAGCGGGGCCTAGTCTCTTCCCCCACTTAGCCCCGCCCACCCAGAGCCAGCCCCTCCCCAGAGCATCCAAAGTCCAGGTCACCCCCCCCAGGGAGGGGCACCGCAAGGGCGGGCCAGCCCCCCTTCCCACAAATGGGCCAGCCCTTCCCCAGAGCATCCAATGTGCAGGCCACCCCCCCCAGGGAGGGGCGCCCCAAGGGTGGCCCAGCCCCCCCCCCCGCACAACGGGCCAGCATCTCCCCAGAACACCCCACGAGCAGGCCAGTCCCCCCACCAGGGAGGGCACCCCAAGGGCAGGCCAGCCCCCCCCCAACAAGGGAGGGGCACCCCAAGTGCGGACCAGGCCTCACCTTTCTGCGGTTCAGGGCCAGGTGGCCCAGGCCCAGGAGGCCAAGCCAGCGCACAGTGGGCTCGGGATCTACCTGCCAGGCAGTCAGACGCTGCACAATGGCTTCATCTCTCAATAGCCTTGCCGTGGGCTGACTCTGAAGAAGCTGAGGAGTTGGGATAGGGGTGACTCAGCAAATGGGCACCTCTGGGTGGGTGGGGAGACCCTGGGACTGAAGAAGGCCTGTCTTCCCCTCCCACCTCACTGTCAACCTGGGGTCATGAATGGAGAAGACCCTCCTCATCACCATTCTCCCTAACTACATCTGCATTCTAGGGAGGATCTCAACAGCCAGAAACTATTATCATCACTGTTTTACATAGGAGAAAACTAAGGCCCTGAGAAGGAAATTAATTTGCTCAAGGTCACATAGCAGCTAGGGACCAGAGCCAGGGCTAGAACCCAGCTCTTCTGACCCAACCCAGGATTCTGACCATCACACAGTCCTGGAGGAACAGGGCAAGGGGACAGATGAAAGGCCTCTGGGTCTCTGTGGCCTTCACTCTTAACCCAGGTACACTCACCCCAGTGAAGAAGGCCATAGCAGTCAGGCGTCGAGCTTTATCTGCGCTTTGTAAACGTGGAAGTAGGTCTGCAAAGAGCCCACGCAGGTGATGGTCAGCATGAGCCACCAGGGCACTTGGGAGATACAGGAAGGGGAGAGGGTGAGGGAGAGCTGAGGAAGGAATCCTGACTACCTGTTCCCCATCTTCCTTCTGCCCCAGCACCATTACCCCTTGTTCCACTACATTCTCCTCTCCCTTCAACTAGCCCCCAATCAGTACTTAGTCCTGTTCAGTCTGAAGAACTAGGAAGATTCTGAGACCATCCTTCTGGGATCTCATCCCTTCATCTCTGTTTCCTCATGTCCCCCCACCCCAGGACCCCATAATGTCCAGTATTCCTGTGTATCCTTCCCTCAGGGCCTCTGTCCCCATGCTCAAACCTGGCCAGCAGGAGGACACCCTCCAGATGGGTCCTAGATCCTATGAGGCGCCTCCAGCCCCCACTCTGCTCCATGCAGGTAACCACCATTCGACCTCCATCCCCATTGAGCAGGGCCTTCAAAGCTTCCACAGCACAGCTGTGGAAGAGGAAAGAAAGAGGCAGAAGAAATGAGGACTAGGAGTGAGGTCACCAATTGCTCCCCTTTACCCTTACTGCCCCTTCCCCCATCTCCCATATTGATCTCACCTAGCATGGTTGGGGGGAGGACCCCGGACCTTCACTTGAACTTGGGGGGAGTGGGCACACCAGGCTAGCTGGTGCAGCTGTGTAACTAGCGCAATGAGCACTTGTGGGTAGAAGCCCCTTGTGGCGGCCACACATCCTGACACTGCCAACATCTCTCCTAGTGCTCTTGTGGCCTACAGAGACACAGAGGATATGCACCTGAGATACTCCTCAAACGTAACTGTAACATTCTTGGGACATGCTTTGATCCCACGTAAGACATGTCTGACATGTGTGAGATATCCGACAGACAACATTCTTCAGATAGGTCGGGGCACATACCTCACATACACTGAAATACCTATACCCTTGAACCAGCCCATGACCCCTTCCCCAGGTTTCTCCAGGAATCTGTCATCTGTCTTCCTTCCTTCCCACCAGACTCTTAGGTGCCAGATCTTTATCTTCTGGACCTCACATGGGTATTCAAACTCTGCCCCCCTCTCCCTTCCCACCTCCATCTTGCCTTCCCTCCCTCCACACTAGGACTTCACTCACAGCCAATGCCTGGGCTTGGGGCTTGACCAGCTGGGGACTGAGGCCAGGGCTGGAGCTGGGGCTGGGGTCCTGGATCTGGGGTGGGCCCTTTACCTCCTGCAGCAGGTGCACCAGGACCAGCCCATTCACCCTCTGGTTCCGGCTCAAGCCTCGCCACAACTCAGCTGCCGCACTGTGGATAAAGGTAGGAGGAGGAAAGTGGGAGGATCTGGGTGGATGGAAGTCCCAGGGTGAGGACTGTGGAGAGGAACCGTCGAACCTCTGGGATGGGGACTCTAGGGCTGAGGGAAAACCCAGACTGTGGGAGCTCCCATTGGGAAGACATGTTGGTACATGTGGGAAGCCATGGATCTGAGAAGAGATCCTGGGATTGAAAGGATCCTTGGATTTAGGGGATTTACCTTGCTTTGTATACCTCTTTGTGTACCTCAGCACAAGTAACCTTGAGAATGAAGAGCCCCTAGACTTGCGGGAGACCTCTGGAAATAAGGGGATTTGGAGACTGAGATGAGAGCCAGAGTGTGGGAGGTTCCAGGAGAGAAGTGAAGGAAACCTTGGACCTGACAGGAGGCCATAGGACTGACATGGATCTTTGAATTTAGGGGAGACTGGGAATGGGGGAGATCCCTGGAACAGAGGGGACCCAGGAAATGAAAGGAAAGGCTGGAACTGATAGGAATAGATCTTAGGGGAAAGACCCTAGGATTGAAGGGACTCAATGATTGAGGGGGTACCTAGACTGTAGGAAGTCTAAGGGGGCAGGAGGAAACTTGGGAGTCAGGGGACCCAGAGACCAAGGATGGGGAGGAATGTGGAGATTGAAGGGAAACCATGGAATGAAAGGAGAACATCCTAACTGAGAGGAGACTCTCTCCTGGCTCTGACACCAGCCTTTCTCTGCCCAATCGGATAAATGGGTTCATGACCCAAGTATCTATGACCAAGCAGGCAAGAAGCCTAGAATCTTGGCTCCTAGCCCAGCCTGGCTTGTGGGTGTTGGAATGCAGAGCACACATTAATTAGGGTTGGGCACTAATTAGGAGCTGGAGGTGGGTGCCAATTGACCTCACCAGGGCAGATACAACAGCCCTCAGGAGAAGGAAGGGGAGGGCATCTGGGGATGCCAGGATACCTGGGTCCTTTCCTGCCCAGGAGGCCCAGGGCAAGTGGGGATGCCCAATACCTGTCACAGGGCAGAGAGTGAGACAATAGGGTCTGGACCACTTCGCTTGTGTGTTCTGCAGCCAATGAGCAAAGTGCCCTCAGGGCCACCCTCCTTGGCCTGCCTTCCAAGAGCTGGGTCATCTGTCCATGCAGTCCCTGGACCACCTCCCGTACCTGGGAAAGGAGGAGTGAGCTCACTCTCAGGGCTCACTGAGATCCACTCCCTCCAGCCTCTCCCTGAGCACCCCCCCACCCCTGTGACAGTGAACTCCTGAGCAACCCTTTTAGAACGCTCATTGCTATGCAGGTTTGGTTCACATTGGACTCAAAGCTGCCTTCTGGTACTTCCCATTGCTGCTTGTTCTGTCCTCTGAATGGAACAAAGTAGAACAAATGTAATTCCTCTTCCACAGGACAATTCTGGAGATATTCGAAAGGGTACGTTCCTTGCTTTTTGGCCTTGCCTTTTTAGAATTAGACTTGATGGCCCCTGTAAGCTGTGATGTGGTTCTCTGACATTCTATGTCTAGATGTTCTAGTGGTCAGTGTTCTTGGATCCTGGGATTCTAAGAGTCAAGCTCTAGGAGCCCAGGAGCTGACTGAGAGCCAGAGGGAGGAGATGGGGAAAATCAGGAGCGTGGCTTTGAGAGGAGTCAAGGAAAAGGGAGCCGGCGAGAGATGGGACTCAAGAAGGAGTTGTGTGAAGATGAAGGGGCTGGGCTTACAAAGAAGTGCTAACCTTTTCTGGGAGCTCTCCACCCTGAGCGTCCAAGGCCGAGGAGAGACTGAAGGCCAAGGCCTGGGTCCCTGAGATACCAGCATCCTCAAGGCAAACCACAGTTTGAACAGCAAAATCTGCCAAGGAACCAGGGACCAGAAGGCATTGAGGATGCTGGATAGGGGGAGGGAGAAACAGAGAGAAGTATAAGAATAAGGAGCCGTCATCCAAGAGCCTGACCCTCCAAATGTCCGTCCTTTTTTCCTTAGCTTCCTTCTAAACTCTGGGAGCTTCAGTGTCTATCCCTTAGCTGCCATCCCCCTCAATCCCCCCCCCAAGCTCCTCTCCAACCCCTGCCCTTCTTCCCTCCCATCCTAACCTCCCTCTAGCCCTCCAGGGCCTCTAGCTTTCTTGAAGCCCCTTGTCACTACCACCAACCTCCCAAAGCCTCCAGCTTCTTCCACATACCTTCATCTCTCCCTCCTTCCAGCTGCTCACTGGCCCTTTGTACCCTGAGCTGGGATCTGTCTATCCTCTTCCCCAGTTCCCCCAGTACCTGTTCAGGCTCCCAGGGCTGGGGCTCAGGGTCTGAAGCCTTTGGAGAGTGGGGCTCATTTCTCAGCACCCCAGTGGCAGTATCAGGTTCCAGACTCTCCATCCTTGGTGCAGTGACTGGTTCAGCGGGGCTCTCAGACTCCTGGGGGGGCTGCCCTAGACTGGGTCCAGTCCCCTGTCGGTTGATCTGAATATCCTCAGCCAGTGCAGCCAGAGAAAGGGCTCCCAAGGGCCCCGCAGGACCCCTGTGGGCTCCACCAGTCCATCCCTGCCTCCCTCTAGCCATCTCAAGCCCTGAGGCACCAGTCTTGGTGTGCTGCCTTCTTTCCTCCCACCCCCCAAGACGAGCTCTGACAAGAACTCACAAATGTGGAAAATCTGTCCAGCTTAGGACCTGCACCTGCTGAGATTCACCCTGACTCCTACCAAGGCCAGGTGTGGCTGCAGGTGCAGGCGTGTCTAAGCGTGAGCTGGGGAGGAGTTAGTATACAGGCATGGATCATGGAGCCTCCCTAGGTCCAGAAATAGGTAGTGATTTTCTCCCCTCCCTCTTAACTGCCAGGAGACAATATTAGTTGGGGATCCCTTACTTTTGACCTATCCACTGAGGGTCCCTTACCGAAGAGATTTAGGGATCATAGGAGCCAAAGATTTAGAATGAAGAAACCTTAGGGATCCACCCTCATCATTTTATAAATGGGAAACTGGGGCCCTGATCAATGAGGTAAAGTCAGGAGGAGCAGTGGAAACCATGGGACCCAAGGTTACCTTTCCCATCACAGGGATCATTGGCCAGGAACCTCAAGTCTGAAATGAACAATGTGGCCCTCTGAGCTGGGGGTGTCTCCTGGAGAGGAGCTAGTTCACTACCCTGCAGGAACTGCTGAAAAGTAGTCTGAGGTCTGTTTCTCATTGGGCAGCTGTTTAATCTCTAGAAGAACAAAGAAGTCTACAGGAGTTTAGCCAGAGTCTGGATAATAGAGAACAGCATGAAAGTTCACAGAATTCAGGGCAGTGATGCAGGGAGCCCCTCCCAGCACTGTGTGTGGATCAGGAAGAGTGCTTGTTTGATGGTCTTGAGGCTGGGCCAGCCCTGGAAGGTGGCCTTGGAAGGAGGATAGGCAGAATCGTCTCCAAGGCTGCCTGAAGCCTGGTTGTTATTTATTGCTACTGTTATAGGCCCGAGGGGCAGGGCAGGATCTTTCTATTGGCTGGCCAGGCTGAGCCCAGGGAACCTGGCATGCTTTTGAAACAGTTGTGCGGCACAAATGCAAATTTGTTGGGTTACTGACCTTGTTTCAAACTGTTCTGTGAAGAAAACATTTTTGTTGTTCAGTTATTTTCAGTCGTTGTCTGACTCTTCATGACCCCACTTGGGGTTTTCTTGGCAAAGACACTGGAGTGGTTTGCCATTTTCTTTTCCAGCTCATTTTACAGATGAGGAAACTGAGGTAAACAGGGTTAGGTGACTTGCCCAGAGTCACACAGCTAGTAAATGTCTGAAGTCACATTTGAACTCAGGTCACCGTGACTCCAGCCACAGCACTCTCCACTGTGCCCCATGGAAGTGAACAATAGGGCAAGTGGTTGACATTTATTTTTTGGGGGAGGAGGGAGTGAGGCAATTGGGGTTCAGTGACTTGCCCAGGGACACACAGCTAGTAAGTCTCAAGTGTCTGAGGCCGGATTTGAACTCAGGTCCTCCTGATTCCAGGGCTGGTATTCTATCCACTGCACTTCCTAGCTGCTCTGCCATTTATTTTTCATTTCAGTACCTTCCCTCCTTCCCAGTTTCTCACCATACCTCCAGGGCTGGGGCTCCAAGGAACCTTGCCAGGGAACAGCTTAAGTTTGGGAAGCAGCATTATAAATATGTACCTTCTGGCTCTCAAAATGAGAGACATTGCTTTCTAAGGGGAAGATGGTGCAGGACAAGAGGCTGTCTTAAAAGAAAGGTATTGCTTTCATAAAAAACAGGCTGGGATAGCTAGGACTTTGTCCAGGGTCACAGAGCCAGAGTTGAAAGCCAGGTTCTCTGACTCAAAATCCAGGGCCCTTCCTGCAATATGGTGCTATGTGTATCCATGTACCTGCGTGGTGTCTGTGAACCTTGCCCTGCGGCAGTGGGGAGCTGAGGGCCTCTCCTGCATCTCATCTTTCATCACAGTGATACCCCCTACCCACTGGCTTTCCCTGGAAATAAATAAAATCACAGAATCTCAGAATAGGAAGGAACCTTAAAGAACTTCTAGTCCAGTGGGGAACCTGTCACCTTCAGGCCATATGTGTCTGCCTTCTAGATCCTTAAGTGTGACCTGAGGGCTGCAGGTCCCCACCCCTGTTCTAGTCTTACCTATGCCAAAACAGAAAGGAAAGGAAAAAGTGTAAAACTCTCACTAGGTGCCAGACACTATGCTGAGCATGTAATATACAAATACAAGCAAGAAAGCTAACCCTGACCTCAGGGAGCTTACATTCGAATGGCGGAAGACAACAGGAATCCCCTCTTCAGTATCCCTAGCAAGTGGTTGTCATCTAAGACCTCTGAGTGAAGACCTCCAGGAATGGCAGAGCTCACTGCATCCCCAGAGCAGTCCTTCCTGCTTGGAGACAGCTCGGGTTGTTAGGGAGCAGAAATCTGCCTTTACCCAGAGCAGAAATCTGATCCCTTCTAGTTCTTCCCCCTGGGACCAAGCAGAGCAAGTATGTTACTTCTTTGTAACAGTCCTTCAAACACAGATACTCTTTATCCTCCTCCTCCTCCTCCCACATGCATGCACACTCTGCAATAATGTAAGTCGGGGAGATGGGGAATTGGACCAGGCCTGGGAATCTTAGGGATGCTTCTTCTGGACATCAGCCACTGGTCTCCCCCAAGTGAACCACAGTGTCCTCGCATTAGCCTTCACTCTGTTTCCCTCCCACTTTGAAGGAGGGTATGACGTGATATGGGGATAAGGGGCAAAATAGGATGATCCAGGAATAGTTACTGTTGTTTGTTGTTGTTCAATCATGTCAAAGACTCTTCATGACCCTTTTGGCGTTTTCTTGGCAGAGATATTGGAGTGGTTTACCATGTCCTTCTCCAGTTCATTTTACAGATAGGGAAACTGAGGCAAACAGGGTTACGTGACTTGCCCAGGTCACACAGTAAGTGTCTGAGGCCAGAACTGATGAGTCTTCCTGATTCCAGGCCCAGTGTTCTAACCACTTCACCACTATGGTGTCATAGAAAAAGCTTGAGTCAGCCAGAGGACCTGGGTTCCAATCCCACCATACTACTTACTACCTGTGGGACCTTAGCTAAGTCCCTTAACCTTCTAAGACTGTCTCTTCATCTACTTAAAAAAAAAAAAAAAAGACTAAGAATACTTGTGCTCCGCACCTCACACCTTGCTGGCTTATTGTAAGGAAAGTACTTTGTAAACCTTTAGATGGCACTTCATAAATGTGAGTGAGCGGTCTGTGCCGTTTGACTTTTGGGGTGAAAAAAGCTCTCACACCGTGGAAACCAAGACATAGGGAAGCAGCTGTGACAAACAGAAGATCTCAGGTGGGCCACGAATCTGGGAAGCCTGACACCAGGCCTTCCTCCAGGCAAACTAGAAGCAGGGAACAGTAGTAATAATCACAGGAGTGACCCTGGGAGAGAGACTTCCCCTCTCTGGGCCTCAGTTTCCTTCTCTGCAAAATGATGGGGTTGTAGGAGATAATCTCTGTGGTTCTCTTCCAGCTCACTCAGGCTGGTTAGTCTAGGCTCTTATTTATGAGTAATCATCTGGGAGGAAGTTAACAATCATAGGGAAGGAAAACTAAGGAGTAGCAATGGGACAGAAACAATCAGCAATATTTTAACAATGGGAAGAGTAACAAAAAACTGGGAGAGATAACAAGGGGAGAAACCATTTAAAGAGTAACAATGGGGGGGGGGGGGAGTTCTGGCTTCAGAACCTGGGCACTTTCAGGCATTCCTGTGCTTCATAGGAGGATTCCCAGGATGTCTCAGAGCTTCCTAACCTCGAGTCACCTTAGGGAGGGGCAGGGCAGTGGCAGCCCCAGCAGCATTTCAATCATGTGACTGTTTTATTTCCCAGTGCTTAGCAGAGTGCCTGACATACTTGGCACTTAATAAATGCTCGTTGACTGACCCAAACCTTCAGTTCCTTGGCCAAGGATAGTAAAGACAGTCTAAAATTAAAATCAATCAATAAGAAATTTATTCATTCCCTCCTATGTGCTCAGCCCTGAACTGGGGATTGGAAGGATTAGCGGGAAAGAATTCACTGGCCTTTGATTGAAAGTCAGGACACCTGGGTTCTAGGCCTATTTCTGCATCAGACAAGTCTCTTTCAGGGGGCAGCTAGGTGACACAGTAGATAAAGCACTGGCCCTGGAGTCAGGAGGGACCTGAGTTCAAGTCTGGCCTCAGACACATAACACTCACTAGCTGTGTGACTCTGGACAAGTCACTTAACCCCAATTTCCTCACCAAAAGAAAAAAAAAACTTTCTTTCCCTCTATAGGCTCCAGCTTCAGCCTTTCTAAAAAAAAAAAAGGTTTGGACTTGGTGATCAAACTCGAAGCTTCCTCTTTGGTAAAGTCCCAAAGCTCCCTTCTGATCTAACCTCCTATGACCCTCTTTCCTATGTCCAGTCCTCTGAGCTACAGAGCTAGAGGAAGGGACTGGAGAAGGAGAGAAGAAAAAGGTCAAGCCTGGGCAGGGATCAAGACCTTACTCTGTCTAGTAGAGCCAGTCCTACCGAATACTTAGGCTGCGGGCAGCTGGAAGCACTCCCCAGAAGAGTCCCTCCAGTCAACACTGAATCACCCAACCAGGCTGCTACACCCCAGGCACTGAGTCACCTTGTGCCACTCATACTCATTTAGTTACCCAGACACTCGATCAGTCAGGGACCGAACCAAGTTTGGGAACAATAATAATGTTAATTTCTAACTTTAAGGTTTATTGAAGTTCTTTTTTTAAAAACAGCCCTGTGAGGGAGGTAGTAAAAATACTATACCCATTTTACAGCTGAAAAGCCTAAAGTCAAAAGGGAGGCAGCATAGTATAATGAAAAGAATGCTGGATTTGCTGTTAGGAGAAAAATGCATTCAAATCTTGCCTTCTGCTCTCACTAGCTGTGTGACCTTGGGTAAGTCACTTAATTCTCTGAACCTCTGTTGTCTCACCCATAAAACAAGGATATTAGTACCACCTATATACTATGTATCTCACTGGGTTATAGTAAGGATCAAATGAGATAACATATGTAAACTTTGTGCTTTGTAACCTCAAAGCTCTGTCTATACCTGTTATTAATGTTGTTGGGCCATAAATCTTTACAGGCTTCTCTAAAAAAGTTGTCCAGCTCCTCTCCCTTTGCTAGACGTTTCTGGAAACAGCTCTAGGTCTATTTGTGTCTATCTCAGCCTAGCTGCCCTGAAGGAAAATGAGAGTGGAAATATAAACAGAAAAGTAGCTGGACTGTTCCTGAACCCCCATCTCTCAAGACTCAGTGAGAGCTTCTGACCTATGTAAGCGTCACATTGCCTGGACACTGATGGAGAGACGTGGAGAGAGATGAGGAGGAGATAAATGAGAGGGTGGTTCTCACACTGCCTAAAGCTAGCCTTTGTTTTGGGGGCGGAGCTATGTAAAATACTGGGAGTAAATAATACAGAGCTCTTCTGGCCCTGGACTTGAAAGAGATTCCAGCTAATTTTACTATTGCTTAGCTGTTGGAAAGATGGTACCATCTTCTGGGGAGAAAGTTAAGTGAAGCTGAGGACAGAATGGGATAGTAAGAACCATGAATGACATTTGCCAGGAGCAGAAGGCAAGAGATCATAGCAAGACATAGCCAGGGATACTTGCTGGGGAGCAGAGATGTAGGGGAGGTGAAGCTACAATGTTGAGTGACTAGAGGTTCAAACACTAGCTTTCCCCCTGGGTTGGGTTCCCACCAAGGACAGTATTGAGTTATGGGGATTGTACATATCTCCCAGGGCCAGGGGAAGGAGACCTACAAGGAAATGAGGGGTGTGAGAAGAAGGGTGATCCTTACTCTCGTGGACTCAGATGCAAGTCCTCTCTGTGTCCTTTACTGTGTAAATGGCTTCAGCATTGATTGATGATGGTCTCTTGGGAACACCATGGAAGTGTTCAGCCTATCTCTCTAGGATCATGTCCTTATCACTAATCAATGTGGCTCCATCAGCACTGAGTAGCTGACATACACGATAGGTCTTACTCTCATGCTTTCCCAGTCACCAATGGAGGGAAACAAGGCTGTGTGCTTGCTCCCATGCTTTTTAGCATGATGTTTTCAGCCATGTTGTCAAACCACCTTCAATGAGGAAAAGCATGGCATC